TTGATCCTTGATCTGTCCGAGATGTGGACGCAGTTTGTGGAGTTGTGGCAAAGGGTGAAGAAAGGCTTTTTTTCTTTCTCTTAAGGACGTCGGGCAAAGCCGACCTGTATGTTGGAATAAAATTTAGAAGCAGAGGCGCCTTCCATTTATGGACTCGCAGGTCCAAAAGTCTCTTCAAATCCTTGCTGGGAAAGAAGGATTAGCGAAAGTTTTTTGGTGGCTTAGGAACAGCTACAAGAGAAACAGACATTAGAGATAGGTACAATATTGAAGACTTTGAAAGAAAATGAGTAAATATGAATACAGGGCTCTTACTATTGCCCTCTACAAAGATTGATCGAGGGAGAGGGAAGAGATGGAGGTCTTCATCTGGGGCGAACTCCTAGTTCCCCGAAGTGATGAAATAGTCATCCCCAGCTCCCTTGTTGGAGTCAGGGAGGTCGGCGACGATTTTGTATTCGGTTGACCTCGGCTTAAGGTAGTAAACGTAGTCGGTGTCTTTTTTGAGGCCACACATAGTGTAGCAGTATTGGATATCGGCTAATGTGATCCTAGCGTTTTCTTGTTTGGCCAAAGCTATGATACCATTAATGGTTCGATAGGAATTGATGGGAAGTTGCATGGGGTTCAACTTGTAGTAGTGAAGTATTTCACGGAAAATGGTGTTAAGTGGGAGCCGAAGTCCACATTCAATGAAGGCCACCACAGGAAAAGGCATGGAGGTAGTTGTAGGCATTATGGAGTCATCATCCCCAGCCAACCTTAGATTGACGTCGGCCAGAATTTCAAACTCTCGCCTAAAATGTTCTAGCTTGGATGGGGTGTCTACCCTGTGTTTCCACATACCCATGATATCGGCTTGACTAAAGGTACTGGATTTCAGAAAGAAGATGTTTTAAGAAAGGGTTATTGGGACCTCGGCAAAACACTTAGGTATGTGCCTGTGCAAGAATTTGTGAGGATTGCTTCAGTTTTTCCTAAGAATTAGGGGCTCTACAGACAAATCCCAAACCTAGATCTATGAAAACGAAGATCAAAAGCACGGATTTGGAAAAGAAACAAAAAACAGAAAACAAGAACTGAGTTTCAGAATCCAGAACAGAGATAGGCTATCAAAAGCATAAAAAGTACAAGAAGTATAAGGTCAAGAACAGTGGCAAAAGTGCAAGAAAGTGGTGAAACAGTGCGTGTGTTCAAAACATGGGCAAGGGCAAAATCACGGAATTGATGCATTCGAAGTATGTGATTCACAGGATTAACGTTTGAACAAAGCAGTAATGGCAACAGGTAATGAAGAGTATCAAAAAATTGAAAACGAAAGGAACAGTAAACTCACCGAAGAAAAGAAGCCGGTGTAAGGATAGCCGAAGTCAGGCAGCGGTTACAGAAGTAACAGAACGGTGAGAGCTTCACTAGAATGAAGGAATGGAGGCAGTTGCAGAGCTTGAAGACTGGAACAATGGTGGGTTCGAGAGAAAAGAGTTACAGAGAGAGAAAGCTAGAGGACTAAATGCAAAAAGTGAAGAGACGAAAGATGGGGGAAAAGTTTTGTTAAAAGTTGAAACGGCGACAACAAATTAATGCGCCTGGAATGATGCATACGTTAGACGGCGCACGCAGGCGCAAAACGGATTACAGGCGCGTCGCAAGCACGGTCCAATGAGGTTAAGACACGTGAATGAAACAGTTGAATAAGTGGTGCATAACAGCTCATGCGCATGAAAGAGTTCATTGGAAATCTTGTTCTTTAAAGTAAACATGTCGGCCTTGATGTTGATCACGGCTAAAGATGTTAGGCCGATGTATTGGTAGGAAGTACCGATATAGGTTCCATCACCTCAGGATGCTGAGGTAATAGACCCTAGGAGGCAGTTGTGGGGATATATTTTCTGAGTACCAACACGTGGCAAGGTGACGCCAACATGTCAGCAGAGGTGCCACGTGTCTTGGACGTGACGCCGAGGTGATCTTGGCTAGGCCGAGGTTATCTCTGAAGATATCGGAGTCCGAGATAAACAGATAAGGGACAAGAGTCCTAGAATGAAGAAAGACTTCAAGATGGATAAGGATAGCATTCTCAGGGAGTTTATCCTTATCTCTTGTAAAGTCCAAAGTAAGCACTGAACGAGAATCCATAGAAGTCAGGTTTCTAGTAGGACTAGGATTGAGTAAACTATAAAAGAAAGGCACCCTCGATGGGTCTAAGGTACGCAATTTATGCTTTGAGCAGTGAATTTAGCACTTGATTATCGTTGAGAGATATGCTGACTTGATCGTTGGAGTGCTCCCAGGTGGAAGAACCACCGCCGGAGCTTTCTCTTTCTATTGCAGGTTAGCTGAAGCCATCTATTCTGCCGGTGTTCTCTAACTGATTACTAAATGGGCAGTGTGATCAGAAAATCACTCACACGTAAGCCAATAGGACATTTTACTTCGTTTAGATTGTTGTATTTAGTCAACTTCTGAAATTAATGGAAAATAAATTTATTTTGCTTATGAATGAAGATTGCTGAGTATTGGGTATTGTATGGAATCGTGTGTATTTGAATAATGAATATTAGTTAATGAAATAATTATGGAGTTAGTTAATGATAATCGGGATTACAAAAAAAAGGGCATTACAAGCACTCACGAATTATGAATCGTAATCTAACTGTTAGCTTCTTAATTGGTATTTTACAAACAATAACAAAATAAAAATGAATCCTTACAAGAAACCCCATGAGAAGGTAGGCCCTTGAAAAAGAAAAAAATTATTGATTAATTTTAGGATGTTACATGATTATATTCCACGCTAATCACAATTTATTATATCTTTTCAATATTTTTGAATCACTCAATATAAATTTACAAATTTTATCCCTCTATCAATCACAACCGTGTCAAGACACTATGGGTATGTTTGATTTGAGTCTGTCAGATAAGTTTTAGAGATAAAAAGTACGAAAAGTTGTTTGATTTAGTTTTTTTCAAAAGATATTTTGAAAAATTATTTTGAAATAAAGTTTTAAAAAAAGTGATTGATTTTATGTGTATGAGAGAGATTTATTTGAAAAATTTATAAACCAAATAAGTTTTGAAATTTTTTTTTGAAAAAATTTGTTTATTTAATTACTTTTAAAAATTTATTTATAAATTTTTTTGAGAAACAGAGACCAAACAAGTTTCATGTAATTTAGGCCAAGTTTGGGAAGATCCAAAAAAGCCAAAAAGCCAAAAAGTTACTCAAAAAACTAAAAAGTTAACACTATTCACCAAAAGTCAACAATTACGGCTGCACAACTCCCAATTCAAATTTTTCTCTACAAATCAATTTTTACAATTTTTTATTACACATTTTTCAATAAAAAGTCAAAAAGTTAACCCAAACATCCATATTTTTAACCTCAATTTTTTAATCCAAAAAGACAAAAAGTACACTTTTTTAGTCTTCCCAAACTTGGCCTTAATGATCTCTCTCGAAAAAGGGTTAATGAGCCAAAAAAAATTTTAAAAAAGGCGAACAGCGTTGTGATACTTTTGAAGGGTCGTAATCAAGTCATGTCGTGTGGAGAATCCTCTCAAATTTCCTTCATCCAATCTTTATCTCTATCTTTATCCTTATCTTTAGGCAAATTACACTTAATTTTTTTCAAAATTTGAAAAAAATATAGTAATTTTATAATTTTAATATAATTACCTATTTTGATTAAAATATTTGACAAATGACTAAAAATTGAAAATTCATAAAATTATAATTTTAATATAATTACCTATTTTGATTAAAATATTTGACAAATGACTAAAAATTGAAAATTCATAAAATTATTTTTAAAAATTCCAAATCAAATAGATTATTATAATTACATCAAAATTTTAATATAATTACATTAAATTTTTTTAGTAAGGTTAAATGGATTAGAATTACATGGTTGGAAAAAATAAAAATAAATAAATAATATACATATTTCAATAAAAAAAGAGATGATATTATCATTTTTCTATTAATTTGATTACAAAAGTATACATGAAAATGGAGTTAAGAGTAATAAAAATTAAAATATTAAGTGAGTATAATGTAAGGAAAAATTAGTAAAATGTCCCTCTTTAATTTTTGGTAGTATGAAAGGTTCAATATGTTTTCTCTTTTTAGTTAAAATCTCTCAATAAAATTATTAGAGAAATTTTTAATCATCACAGAAAAATTTCAAATTTCTCTGTAACTAGATGAAATTTCTTTATGCTGAAATTTCTCTATGTCGAAATTTTTTTGTGAAAATATTGAGAGACTCCAACTATTATGAAAATATTAAATATTTTTTATTTTATAAAATCTTAATATCATCTTAAACTAAAAATTTCAATTTTTCTTTTAGTTTTTAGATTTACTTAATCTAGATATACTTAAAAAGTACAAAACTTGTGCAATTTTTTTTAAAAAAAATTTGTGCAATTTTTTAAAAAATATAAAAATTTAATATATTTTCGTATTTTGTTATATTTAATTTTTTATGCAAACTTTCAAGTGTATGTATAGTAAGTACATTTAAAAAATAAAAATAAAAAATTATTTAAAATGTTTGAAAAAACTCTAAATTAAAGATAATTGTTGCATTTTTTTTTCTAATTTTTTTAAAAATACCAGTATAATTTACTCGTTATTTTATTCTGTCAAAGCTACAAATGTCGCATGGATGATGATGGAGTAAATACCAAGCACACGAAACTTCCTGAGTCAAATTCAGCTAAAGAAGCTTCCAAATTTTCTCTCTCTCTCTCTCTCTCCCTCTCTCTCGCTAAAAAGGATCTATTTATGCAAACTTTCAAGTGTATGTATAGTAAGTACATTTAAAAAATAAAAATAAAAAATTATTTAAAATATTTGAAAAAACTCTAAATTAAAGATAATTGTTGTATTTTTTTTTCTAATTTTTAAAAAAATACCAGTATAATTTACTAATTTTTTAAAAAATACCAATATAATTTACTCGTTATTTTATTCTGTCAAAGCTACAAATGTCGCATGGATGATGATGGAGTAAATACCAAGCACACGAAACTTCCTGAGTCAAATTCAGCTAAAGAAGCTTCCAAATTTTCTCTCTCTCTCTCTCCCTCTCTCTAGCTAAAAAGGATCTATACCCTCTCTATCCAGTAGTTGTGGATTCAGTGCTCCACAGACATGGGACAAGTTTTAGACAAAATTCAAGGTACTAATATTCACTACCCACTACAATCTCTCTCTTAAACTTGTATTTGTTTTGAGTTGTATGAATTTTTCTGAATCTAAAGACCCTGATTTTGATTCAAGTTCATGACTTTTGGGCTTGCATTTGTTGGGTTTATTTCATCTCTCTGATAAATTACAAGAAACAATTGAACTATTCATTATGATCTGGAAACAAATCCCAATATTTGTGGAAAACTTGATAGAATTTGTGTTTGGATTGAGGATTTATGGAGGGATTTACTAAGGGGAAAAGGAAAATGATAGAGAAATTAAGAAATAAATTTTTCACTATGATCCATCCGATTCAACGCAGCCTGAAACGGATTATTGGAAATCAAATTTACATGAATCATTAGATTCAAAAAAATTCTCTGTAGTTTACATGTTTTGATTTTAATTTTTAATTTTTTGTTTTATACTCAACGAGACAGCTATAGAAAAAGTGTTTTTGAAGATTTCAAGGATTTTGTTTGTATCTAAGAAAGTATCAAGGGAAGTGTTTATATTTTTCTTCCTTTATGCTTAAAAGTTTCCTTTTTTCCCTTGTTTTAATACCCATAACATTATTCACAAAGATCACTTTAGAACCACTGCTCATATTTTTACAAACAGCAGTGCTTCCGACCCCCAGCTGGGGGCACCCCCAGTGACCCCCCCAGTGCCACGTGGCAGCCTGCCACTGGCTGAAATGGCTGAAACCCAAACAAAAAAAAAAAATTTTTTTTTGGCCAATCAGGGAAGACCCCCAGCACCCCCACTGGGGGTCTAAGTCATTTTTCTTTTACAAAATTGGCTTAGAGTTAACATTAGGGGAAGTTTTAATTTAGTGTATATTACAAAAAATAGTTACAGATTAGTGATAAATTTTATAAATATTAATAATTAAATTTGTAAACTTTTCCACCAATTTGTATTTTGTAATAATTTTGTGGGAAGACTACTGGGTAGTAATTTCCCCTTAACATTAAGGGGAAAAATACTTATCCAGAAAAAGGGTAAAGAAATTTACCTAGAATGTGTATATGTGACTAAGATTTAATTGGTGTATTGTGGTGTCCATGCATAGAATAAAAGGGGAATTACAATTCAGTGAGTTTTTAAATTTTTTTTTTATAGATTCATGAAAAAGTTATAATTTTAATCATTAATGGGTATAAAGTTACCACTTATGTGTAATTTTTGTTCTAAATCTACACTGAATTGTATTTTCGCCTAGAATAAATCTGGACCATACATTTGATAATATTGCTATGGTTTTTATACTCCTTTCTCCCTTGAAATGTTTTTCTAGCATATTGCGCCTTTCTATTGTTTGTCCTTGTGGTATGAAAATGCCTTACTCATACAACTGACAAAGAAAAAAGAAAATAAAATGCCTCAGTTCGAGTCATTAAAAATCTATTAGGAGTATTTTCTAATTAAATTTGTATTTTCTTACTTTTAAATGTTTCAAGTGTTTTGGGATGAAATATTGGGCCTTAAGTTGTTATTACAGTGGGTAGGGGTAATTCTATATGGTAATTACTTCTTGTTACGGTTTTGTAAAACTTATAAAATGATCTATTAGGTAAAAATAAGACTACGAATTTGAGAATGAATAAAAGTTGAATAAGAAGAAGGAATTGGTGAAGGGGTACAAGATTATTTGATTAGTTGGGAGGTGGTTTATCTTCCGAAAATAAGGAGAGGTCTTGTTTTGGGAAGTATTCTAACTGAGAAGATTTTTGTGCTTGGTAAAATGGCTTTGGAGATTTCCAATAGAGCGTGACTTTTTATGACATGTTGTCATTAAAAGCAAATATGAAATTCAAGATAATGATTGGGAATCTCGTGATGTTAATTGGGGGATTCTCGGTTTCCTTTGTAATTCATTTCTCAATGCTTTTCTCGTTTTTTCTCGACATATTCATATCATCGTGGGTAATGGAGATAATTTCTTTATAAGGATAGGAGGATGTTTGAAGGGGTGAGATTTCTTTTTACCATTTAATTTGTTAAAATTTATCAATAAACCTACCACCACTACCACCTCACCTACTCCACTAAACCTAACCCACTACACCTACACCTACACCACCTCACCTACTCCACTAAACCTAACCCACTACACCTACACCTACACCTACATCTATATAAGGAACCATTTGTAATAGACAACATATATCAATATCATATCAATATATCAATCAATAATACAATCATTTCTCTTTATACATTAAATTTCTACATAATTACTTGTTTTTACCATTTAACTTAGTTGCATAATGCATGTATTGCTACCACAGTTTCTTCATGTATGTATCCTAGCATTTGGAATTTTTTATTTTTTATTTATAGAAATCTCAATGATCAAGAGGCAAGTGAGTAGAATTTTTGGCTATCCATTCCTGATGGTGATTTTTTGAGACAGCAACCATTGATAGAAGATTGTGGTCCATTTTTTAGCATTTTTTTTTTCCTTCTTGCAACTACTTTTTGAGTCCATTATTGATGATCCAAATGTAACTCTCATAAATTAATTTGGAGTGCAAATACGCTTCTTAAAGTTAGGGTGAGGAGAGTATTGATCACTTTTGTTTTTGCATTGTCCTGTAATAATGAGTTCATTATGGAAATTATTTCAGTCAGCAATGATTGATTGGGAGGTTCAATTTTATTGTGTCCAATTGCTTATGATTGATTTCAAGGGTTTTGACTCGAATATGAACACTTGAGCCCTTTGGGTTGTGTAAGTTGTGTGGCATTGTGGATAATCTGGCTAGAGAGGAATGCAAGATTTTTTGAAGATAAATTAAAAGATATTGGGAGTTTGTGTGATAAATATGCTTTGGTGTCATCATCCTTTAAAGAGATTTCTTTGCCCTTGATTAGTAGTGATTGGATAGCAGTCTGTCAATTGTAATTTTGGTTAAGTTTTCTTTCTTCTGATTTGGTGGACTTCTTGTCCTCTTTTCTTCTCTTTGTTTAATAAAATTTCTCTATTAATGATAAAAAAAAAAAAAATGAATCACAGTTGAAATATTTGTATGAGCTTTTGTTCTCTCTGGTACTTTCATTCATTCATTTTTTTTCGTCTTTCTACACATCTGTAGCTCTATCTTCTCCCTCCACTCTTGCTCCCTCATATCTATCACTTTTTGACTCCAAACATCCCATCTTTTTTTTATAATGTATATAAAAATAAATATAAATTTGTCTATAAGATATTTTCATCAAAATTTCATAAAATTCAAGTTGCATTAGTTAATGTACAAACGTGAAAGATCCGCTCAAGACATCAAAATGATTCCAAGATCACCTTGAAGAATCTTGAAACTTGACATTGAAGTTGTCTCAAATGAGAGAGGATTGATGCAACATGCAAGATTAAACCAACAAGGTTAGCCTAATTTGCTAGAGCCCATGCACCTTTAAAATCACATACATTTTTCATTGATACATTGATTAATTTTATCTTAAGTTAATGGCAATTGGTTCGTATCAATATTTTGTTTTTGATTCTACGCATCTTCCTTTATGGAATGCATAAAGTTCAATATGTTTAATTATTGAATTTTTACACTTCTACTCATAGAGAGAGTTAAATTTAAATTTCCAAAAGCAATTCCATGTTTCTCAGAATTATTTTCGTCCTTCATGTTTTCAAGACATTTTGATTTCCGTAATAATGGAAACTGCACACATAAACAAAACTGTAATTCTTGCTCCCAGAAAATGAGATTAGGCCTTGGAGGGTGAATAAAAGTTGAAAATTTTGGAAGAGCATTGGCTGTCTCTCTCTCTGTGCCTCGTGCCACCTCCCCGTTCTCGTTTTTTTTTTTTTTTTTTTTTTTTTTTTTTTTTTTTTTTTTTTGTTCTTCTTCTTCTCCTTCTCCTTCTTTGTAATACCTCATTTGTTATTCTTATATTCTCCCTGCTCTTCTTTCGCTCTCAGATAAGTTTCTATTGATCTATTGAAAAAAATTGATAGCATGAAGTTAGCAGAATGGAAATATACCCAGTTGACATGTACTGAAAAGAAATTGTCATTTTCTAATGTTATAAGATTCTCTTTTTTATTTTTATTTTTTTCTCTTTGAGAGTTATGTATATATATGGTTTGACGGCCACCAGATTTCTTCCAAGTTTTAACTAGTGACAAAGATAAGATTGAATCAATCTGGCCTTGAGACTGCCTCAGGATGAATATAACGATGCTTTGCCACCCTGAGAAATTTTCAAGACCTACATCAACATGATTTACTGCTTATGTTTTAATGTAATAAATTTGCTTTTTGAATTGAAAATATAACCTGTAGAATATAGATTGTCTACTGACCTTGTAAATATTATTTGTTGGTCCTGATAGTGTAGTTGCATGTTAAAATGCTTTTCACCAGTATAATATATGTTCTTCGAAGATTCGTTGAAGTTAATTTTATTTCTAATATTGGCGGGCATGTGCTGAAAGTTAGAGATTAGTTCCTGTGTTGAATGTTTGAGGAAGTGGGGTATGTAAAAACTTGCCAATGAGAAAGATACACGTCTTCAATAATAAAGTAGCTTGTTTGAATGATATTTTACTCAAATTGAACAACAGAGAACGAACTCAACAAGCTGATTTAATAAAGTACTGTGTTTGGCTGACATAATTTTTGATCTTTACGATGGATGCAGTACAAGTGACGGTTTGGCTATTCTAGAGAATAGTTTGGAATGAGCTGATCTAAAAATTTCTAAAAGAAGAATTTGAAGTCAGAAAGTTATGGGATTCTCAAGGAGATTTACAAAATATCTACTAGAGGGAACAAGATGTTGGACGAGGAATGTTATGCATGTGGGGCCTTCTGTTCTTTAGAGGAAGGCCACACTAGATTTTTGTGGTATCTTGGACCTAGTGAGGCAATATTGCTCTTTTTTGAGGAAATTGATTTGTAGTGCTTATAATGTGGACCATGTGGTTCATTCAATTATCTAATGCTTCTCTGAAGTAAATGGCTTTCACCTTTTTCCTATGGATAAATCCTCATCTTACATTATAGGAGATGAAGTCTCTCATTTGGATTTGATGTTCTTTAACTTTCTCAGACTCCTAGGTAGTGCTGCAAATGAACTGAGTTGTTCATGAATAAGCTTGGCTCGGCTCGGCTCGGTTCGTTTAGTAAACGAGCCGAGTTCGAGCTCGAATATTAGGCTTGTTTAATAAACGAGCAGAGCTCGAGCTCTCATAAGCTCAGTTTGTCAAGTTTGGCTCGTTTATCTTTATTTAAATTATATAATAAATATATTATTTATATATCAAATAATATGTAAATATATATAAATAATAGTATAAATACATTATTTATATGTTAAATAATATAAATAATATTTTAAAAAAAAATTTCAAGCCGAGCCGAGCCGAGCTCGAGCCCAATTCCTTATTGAGCTGAGCTCGAGCTCAATAAACGAGCTTGATAAGTAAACGAGCCGAGCTCGAGCTCAGCAAAGCTCGGCTCGGCTCGGCTCGGCTCGGCTCGGCTGGGTTCGTTTGAAGCCCTACTCCTAGGCTAGCAGAAGAGTCTTATGGTGACGACTCAGCTTTTACACTGTTGTTAACATTGAAAGGATATTCGGATTTATTAACCCTTGTTTTTTTATTCAGATTTATTTTTTGTTCAATGTATTTTGAACTCAAATGGGAACGCAAAGAAGAAAATGTCCTTCAAGGTTGTTCAGGCAGGACTGACAAATCTAACTCTGGGATAACCTTGAATTTGAAACTGCTATTACTCTGCTGCTGCCTGCAGATTGGATAACCTTGAATTTGAAACTGCTCTTCCTTTATTTGATTTACCAAAATAGTAAATACTTATCAATGTACCAATATGATTAATGGAGACACGAATGATCTCATACATGAAGGTCTAAACTCATTGTGCAGGTAAGGAGTGGAGGCGAAGACAAATAAGAAAGATAACAGACAAAGTTTATGACCATTTCAAAAACGATTCAGGATCAGCTCATTTGACATTTGCAGATCTGTACATTGCTGTGCTGCTTGTGTACAAGTAAGATGTTCTTCTACCTATCCATGTGCTTTGTTTAAATACTGAAAAATATTTTTTCATCTAAATTTAGTTGTTTTGTGGATGAAAAATATCTAGAGAATATCTACAATATACTGAGTCTTACCTAGACTAAATTGTTCTCCTGTAGTGACATCAACAAATGTTTGCCTGGGCCTCATTTTGATCCCCCTTCCAAAGAAGATGTTAGAACCATGATCAAGGTATGGTTTGGTAGTTCTAATAAATGATGAATTTGGAATATTCTAGAGTAGTCTTTGTTGTGAAGGAACGTAATAATGTTGTTAGATATGCAAGTGGAGAAAATACAAGGGAGAGAAATACGCGAGATAAATAAAAGAAGAGAGGATGCGGCCTTGTCTCGCTGCCCCATCTTGTTAATATTATTACTACACAATACAAAAACAGAGTTATTATTTAATATTGGCATTTTTAACACTTCCCCTCAAGCTACAGCATAAGATATCTATAATGCTCAACTCGTCACGTACATCATATCTATCTTTGACCCAATGATAAGGTTGCCTACCTATTACCTCTCCTAGAACCTACCTTAAGCAGCCTTGTGTACTGGATACAACCTTTTAGCCTTCTCAAAAGTCTTGTGAATACATCGCCTGATTGATCTTCAGACCTACAATAGTTTGTACTAGTCTGTTTCCTCCTGACCATATTTCGGATAAAATGGCAATGCACTTCAATGTGCTTTGTTTTCTCATGCAAAACTGGATTATCACAAAACATCCACATAGGCACATTAGTTTTAAACCGTCTCTTCTAGAAGTGACTATACCCACGTCATCTCACATGTTGAATGTGTCAATACTTTATTCTCTACCCAATCATAATTTGGTTCTTTGTTGGTAATAGTCTTTCTTAGTTCCTTTGGATTAGCCCAGGAATAACTTCTCGAGGTTGGAGAGTGTCCCTTATTTCCACTTCGATCATCACCACTGCAACTCAACCTGGAAGACTTTTAAAGCAACTAGATTTTGGAAGATACTGTCTGCCTAAGATCTAAGTGGAAGCAACTATGAATTGGGAAGTGAGGTGCTTTACTTCAGGATGATTGATTTTGACTTTACTGTCCTGCTTGCTTTGAGTAGTCTATCATTTTATGATAACACATTCAAAGCAGTGGCAGCTTTAGAAATTTTTATCCATTATAAACTTAAACTTCGCAGATTATATTTAAAAAAAAAAAAAAAAACCACACATTAATATTTATCATCTATTTCTAATAAATTTACTAATTTAAACCTATGTTACCGGAAAACACTAATACCCTAGTGAATTACGTATTAGTACGCACGTCCCAAAACATGGGTACAATTTTGTTTAAAAATGATAAATTTAGTGATTCGAAGCGATCCCCAAATTGTTTTCTAATATATTTCATTAAATGTTAACTTAGGAGAAAAAAAAAAAAATCAAATATATGAGCTAAAATCCAAGGTGAGTTAAGTTTTGACAAGACAAAAAATAAAAAATGGGTCATAATTTTCATAAAAATGATTTGCTACGTGAAAGAAGAAATTTTTTTATTGGATACATAATTGTTAAAAGAAAATTACTCTAAAAGTATTTTAAATTCTTAAGTGTAATATATACAAGTCTACTTCTATTGTACCACATTTTAGAGTATATGGCGTACCATGTTTCCGTTCCTGTTCTGTGTACTGGAACGATTCACGTTCTAGGTAACATAGATTTAAACTATGCAAATCACAAACAAATGAGACTTTCAATATACCGATATTAGACACATGAATTTTTATAGTTGCCCTGGAAGAGTTTTCATCTATTGAAAAAGTTTTATAGTACATTTGTGATCAATACTATCAAATACATCGTTTTCAATACATGTAACCAAGCAATTTTCATCCATACATCTTCCATTCAGTTATGCAATCAATTTTTATTTATGATTTTCATTTTCAACAGTTCCAGTTGCAACTGGTAGAATCATACTTATTTGCTTGTAGAATCAATGTTAATTTTACGCAAGCAAATAAATTAATGGATACATGAGATCATTGTTTGTCTCTACAACTTCATGGGAAGATCATCAATTCTTTTTAGTTCTGAAAATTCGTTGTTGGGTGTTCAAAGTTGGAGTGCTTGGGTGTTCAAATATGCAATGGGTCGGGGCTTGAACACCCAGCTGAAGAATGACGCCACCGCTGATTCAAAGCATGTGCATTTGTTCACAACTTAGGTCAATTAGCAGCAGGCTATCATGCTACTATTGACCATAAAATTTTTTATAATTCAGAAATCATAGATTTGTTGGATTTTTTTCCCTCACTTTTCTTTATTATCATCATCATTATTATTTTGTTTCGATTCAGGATTATGATTACAATCATGATGGACGCCTTGACCGTGAAGAATTTGCAAAATTTATTCAACAGCTGACAGCAGATACAATCATCACTGTTAGTCAGGGACTGATCATTACGTTGGCTGTAGCTCCAACAGTTGCAATATTGACAAAGAGGGCAACGGAGGGTGTCCCGGGTGTTGGCAAGGTGGTTCAGAGGTTACCCAATTCGGTTTATGCATCCATCGTGACCCTTGCAGTCGTGGTGGTCCAAAAATCAGGCAATCTAATTGAATGAACCCTTTACCCTTTTCTCTCCTTGCACATGAATCGCTCCACATTGTGTTTAATCAACAAACAGTGTCTGCATGTTATATTGCTATCATAATTAAGAATGCCGACTGATTATGTGCTACAAATTGTGAATAAATGTGGAATTTGTTTGCAAGGAGATAAATTTAGCTTCTGGGTGCATGTCTTTTTTGTTGGATTTGCTAAAAATAATTTCCTCTGAGGAGCCTCTAATCGAATGTATGAGGAACATTTGGGGCCTGCCTTGTGTATTTGTGTTCACTAAACAGTAAGAAAGCTTGTTTATGTATTTGTATATTTGATTTGAGAGTGCCAGAGCTGTATTTTCATGGCGTAGTGAGATAGGTTTATCGAGGGTCGAAATTAAATTCATGTTTCTGGATGAGGGAGATTTCCCATTTCTTTGGAAGGGTTGCAAAATGTTTATGGTTTTCTCACTATGGTGCTGGTGCTGGTGCTTCTGCAGGTGCAGGTGCAGTTACAGTTGATATGAAGTGGTTTAGAATTCAGGGTTTAACTTGGATTAAACCATTTATTACCATGCCCTACGTTTTTTTAGCATGCTGGAATTTGAAGGGTCAATAAAAACTTCTAAGCATTGTTGTTGTGCTCTGATTTGCCAGCTTGGGCACATACCAATATATATATATATCTAATTTTTTTGGGGGCTTAATTACCAAAAAAAAAAAAAAAAAAAAAAAAAATTCCATAGTTTTATGCTTTTTTCATTTTAAACACCAATACAACAATTTTGACAAATTAAACTTTGAAGATCCATTTGTGTTTTAATGTGCCCTGTCCGTGCATCTCTATCAGTGTAAGGTAACGGAAAATCATTTTGGGATTTTTCACATTTTGGGATTTAAAGTGAAAAATGTGTGAAACTTTGAGATTTTTTTTTGTAATTAACCCTAATATTTAAAAAAAAAATTGGTGTGTTTATGTATAACTTGCATACCTTATTGTATGTGTGTGTTTGTATATATGGTGAAATTTTTTTATTCAAATTTTGACTCATCTGATGATAAAATTTTAATGGATTAATGTTATTTTTAATCATCAAAATTAGGACGGAATCAAAATTTTATCATCAAAGGAGCCAAAATTTGAATAAATTTATTTTACTATATATACAAGCACACATATACATATACAATAAGATATGTAAGTTATATATGTACACAAAAAAAATATAACAATAATAATAATAATAATAATAGGGTTTAAAATATAAATAAAAAAAATTCAAGGTTTCATGTATTTTTCACTTTAAACCCCAAAATGATTTTTTGTTAGAGCATTACTATTAACCCTTACCTTTCTTTTTAGAACCCCACCTCATTCATTTTTTTTTAATTCCAATTTTGTCCCAATCAAAAATTTTACTTTTACCCTCATTTTTAATCTTCTAAACCTAATTTTCCAAACTCTAACCTAACCCTAATCACTTCTGGCAATACCACCACCTCTTACCGCCACAACCACCACTATCTCTAACCACCCTCATCACCACAACCTCTACCATCTCTAACCACTTCTCACCATCGCAACCATCACTCCTTCCGTCGCAATCAGCCATCATCTCCACTGACAAGCACCCCTGTCCCTTATTGCAAATCTAAATCAGAAAAGAGAGATCAACCCATTCAGCACTGTGTTATCGAACTAAAAGGATTTGTTCAGCACTGTGTTTCTGAACATTCAGAATTCGTTCAACACTGTGTTGCCAAACATTTAGGATTTGTTCAACAATGTATTGCCAAACCCACTCCGCGATCGTGACCTCCTTATCCATTGCGAAAGAGAATGAGCGAATAAGAGAGAGAGAGAGAGAGAGAGAGAGAGAGAGAGAGAGATGAAAACCTAAGGTTTTCAAAAAAAGATGAAGAAGAAAAGAGAGAAGAGGGAGAAAGAATGTAAGAAATCACTCGCCATAGCTTATGATAGAGGTTTTAACAGTGGCCATTGTTGATGGGTCTTTCTCTTGCTCTGTTTCTCACTCATACATGATTTGAATGCAAGAAAACAAAGAAAACAAAGTGAGAATCTAGATTAGAGAGAGAAGTGAAATGGGTTAGGGTTAGGGTTAGGGTTAGGGTTTGGGGTATAGTTGGTATTAAGGTGGGGGTTTAAAGAAAAAAATCTAAGGGTTTCATTTTGTTGAGTGGAGGTTTAAAGAAGTGGGTAGGCCAAAGTAATTAGGTGGGGTTAAATATCAACCCTCCTTTTGGTATCTTACACAAACGAAGATGGATGAGGGGGCACATTGAAATACGGACGAAACTTTAGAGTTTAATTTGTCGAAATTGAAATACTAGGGTTTAAAGTAAAAAAACACATGAAACCTTGAGTTTTTTTTTTTTTTTTTTTTTTTTTTTTTTT